ATAAAAATAATAATTTTAATAATAAAAAATAAAAATATTTTAAAAAATACATTTATTTGTTTTTAAATATATCCTTATTAGTCATTTAATGTTAAACAATAATCGCTAACTGTTGTATAGTCAAACAGTTATATTTATTGAATCCGCTATTTATCATCCGCTACACACTTTTCGTTATCCACAGTCCACTTTTTGCTAACCGCTACCCACTGCCCGATACCACTATGTGCTATCGGCTATCTGATATCTGCTATCTACTGAATTTTAACCGTTATACTAAACAAATCTTTAATATATTTTATAATATATTTATAAAAAAAATATTATTTTTAAATTAAAATAAAAAAATTTTATTATAATAATTAAACCATAAGTGTAAGCGAGTGTATATATTAACCAAATTAAAAGAGTTCAAAATTTCTATTTTTAAAATTTTCAGCTAGAATTGGCAGCGCCACGGATCCTCGCACGCAAGATTCCCATCCCCATTAATTACCAATGTCCATGAGGTTTTGGATCGAGTACTCATGTACTCTGAATAATAAAAAGTTCTAATTTATCTCAAATGTGTTTTGGATTTTTTTTTTTTTTTGACCAGATAGATGGTTAGGAAATTAGTAGAGTTAGTTTGTTAGCAGCTGGAATTTTTTCAGGAAAGTGAACGTTCCACCCCTCATTTGAGGCATGCGACCATTAGGACGCAAATTGGTGGAGTTCACGGCGGTGGCAGAATTCGAAACCCTGACTTCTGCCTCAACCAAGTCTTAAAGCTTGAGGGCCAACCAATTGGGTCACAGGCCCGGTTGGTGGATTGTACTATTTCTTATAATCAAAATAAATAATAATTAAGTTTTTTGCAGTTCAAAAAAGAAAAAATGATTTGTCTAAAAAAAAAACCTGTCGTAGATAACGTCACCAAAATTAATATGAACAAGACGGTTTGACTTCCCATCCTTGCTCTGTCCGGATGCCATCCCCATTCATGAATTATGATGGAAGAGAAATATGGAATATTATAGAAGATCGATTTATGGCGGGATTTAAGGCTTTAATATTTTACCATTGTTACCTAATGGTTTAAAGTCAACTGTCATCCCTCTACTTTCATATTTTATTCGTTCTTGTCCCTCTACTCTACTAAAGAGCCAAATGTTGTCCCTCTACTCCTCTTTTTTGGTTCATTGTCGTCCCTTCTTGACACCGTTCATGTTGGGTCACTGCTGACCATTAAGTCTTAAACGGTCAACAGTTAAACCCATTTGTTCTATATTTTTTTCACATGTGCTGCCACCTGTGCAACAATGGGGACCCTCTCTGCTTACTCAAACTCCCATACTTTCATCTTTTTTTTTGGCAGAGATGCCATACTTTCATCTTTTTTTTTTTTTAAGAAAGTGATCAACCGAGCCTTTTAAATTTAAAGGAAAAAGGAAAATAATAATTATCTAATAAATTTGATAAAATTAAATTTTACACTATGTCTCAATGGTTATAACTAAATGTTTTGATATTTTTAATATCAAAATGCCTTAATTTTTTTCATTTTCATATTTTAAAACTAAGGAAGTAGTTTTTTTTTTTTTTGTACAAATGTATTTCTCAAATATGAAGCACCCTCAAAATTGAGGACCTCAAAATAGAACAAAAAGTAGCAAATTACTAATATTAAAGAAATCCGATAATTAATTTATTGTTAATTCTTCCTTTTTTTTAATGGGAAATTGATTGTCAATTCTTATTGCAGGGTTCTCAGCTATTGTGGTTTAGTCCATCCAAGAGAAGCTCTCGTCAGTCTCTTCTTGGTTTACAACTATTAACGCTGAGAGCGGGTTATGCACGAGAAAATCTACTAGTTATGTTTACGGTAATGAGCTTAAAAAGGCTAAGCAAAAGTCATGGCGAAGGCCAGAAGTGGATCCAACACCACCTTCATCTCCATGTTCAAAACAAATTTGCGGAACCAAACCAGGATGTACATATTGTCATCCGAACAATCAGTTAATTGGGTGCATAGCACCAGCTGCAACTGCAAGAGAAAGTTGTGTAAGCCTTTTTTTGGGGGAACAATACAATTGGAGACCATATGTGTGTCCGATGCTGAAAGAGGGAGCCTGAAAAGCATTACGCACATGTTGCTGTCTGGAGTCAAGTTGCATAGAGAAAGAGAACAGCGGAAACTCATCAGTTAAAGATCGGAAACAAAAGCCGGTGAAGAAGGGTCCACAGGACTACAGAGGAAGATATGGATTTTGTGTCAATATAGCTACAGCAGGAAAATGCGAGAAAAATGAGCAATCGTATAAGAAAAAAGTTATTTGCTGCTAAACTTCCAGGGACAATCTTGGGTACAGTGCTTGCAGCAGTGTTTTTTATCGAACTTTTCATCAAGATTTCAACAGCATTGATGGTGATCAGTTATAAATTGTTCTTCTAGACCGGGGCTCAATGTTACGACCTTGGTGAAATGGAAAATGATATAGCAGATGAAAACAAAACTGGTGAAACGAAGAAAAAAGATAAAAAAGATAAAAGGGTGAAGAGAAAATTGATGGAAATGTGGAAAGCAAATTCCAAATGCCTTATTTCCAGAGGTAAAG